CACACGCTCTCTCGCTCCGCTCCTGCGGTATGCGCACTTCCGAACCAGTAGGGAAGGTAAGTAGATTTCACCCCTGGCATAGACCTTATCTTTCTGTTTTGTGGAAATAAATGCACTTGGCAGACGGTGTGTAAATCGCTGCCAAGTTGGAGATAAAGACCTGGGTGTGTGCCAAAGTGTTTCCTTAACCCTCGGCTGGCTGTGTTTGTGTGTGTGTGTGGACGGGGACAGATCACATACATTGACAAATCCTGATTATTAAATATTTAGATAATTCTCATTTTGAAGGGCAAAATATAAAAGCATTTATTTGCAACCATGGGTTTTTAGCAAAAATTATATACAATTGCAACAATCTGTATCAGTTAAATGTATCCCCTCCCTAAAATTATCCATACTGTCTGTCAACAACTGAGTCCATATCTTCATGGAAGGTCTTGTGAAGAATTGAACTTGTTTTGTGATATTTTCATCTATACCAGTGCACAAGAAATAGATTTTTGTTCTTCTATACTGAATTGATTCAGTTGTATTAAACAAAGGAATAATAAATCTAGCTCTGGGTTCCTGATATAATTTGCAATAAAGTAATGGATCAGATCTTCTACCTGTGAATTATCAGAAATGCATAAATGTGTGTAATTGGTAATCTTCTATATCATCTATCCAAGTAGGTTATTGGCTTTGTTTGAAAATTAAGTTCTGTGAAAACTTGTCTCAGGGAATGAGATAAAAGGCATTGTAAATAAGATGGCATTCGTTTTCCATCTTTAAGTTATTGGTACCACTTGGCCAACTTAAACTTGTATAGATGCTGTATCTTGTCTAGAATAGTTAAAAAATAAACAATACTTCAATCATATGTGGCAATTTAGGGCATTCAGCAGATCCTGAACTAGTGAAAATAGTGACAATACATTTAGGCTTAAATTAATTCATCCACTACTATTAAATTGTTAATGGGAGCTTTGTCTTACCAAATAAGTGTTGGGCATGACACCTATAATATAAATGTATTACTTCCTTTATCTGTATATAAATTTGTGGAAGGCCCATTTTTGATCTCAACATCACTGCCAATGTACATGGGGGTGAAGCTAGAACTGATCTCATGAATTTGTGCTGCATCATTACTAATTCTTGTAGCTTACTTAAATCCCAAATGGGGACCTCATATGCCAACTGGGAGATTGTTTCCCCCTGGAAGATCGAGAGATCTGGCTGCACTAAACAATGTCCTTTGGAATAGGCGGACAAGGGAACAAATGGCTCTCATTGATCTCATAGCCATTGTTCTTGAGATGCAATTTGTGTTTTCCATAATAGTGTTTCAATAAAATGGACACTCCAACACCTGAAAGATAAGATAAATTATTATCTGAACTGTTTGTTAACTAATGCAGGTAATACCACTGCAATACCTTCCAACATTCAGACATTTCAGCAAAAGTCAAAGGACATTTTGACTTCCTCTCTTGGGATGGTTATGTTGGAGCCAGCATTTCATTGGAATTTATTTCTGTGAATTATTATGGATATGACTCAAATAGCCTGTTTACATTGTAACAATAGGTCACTGCTGAAAAAAATACCTACCATTCTCATGTCAGTGGGCTAGAATATCCCTTCAGAAAACCACTTTTTGTGCCAAATTTTCCATCTGTTGTCTGTGTGAGAAACAATCAGTAGGGAACTTGCCATGTGTTGCAATTTTATTTCTGCCTCTAATCCAGGTTTCCTCCCTCCCGCTGCCCCCCCTCCCAATTCTGTTTATGAAATTCAAGTTATTTTTCCAAGTAGCACTTGCAACCTGCTTCATGCTGACTTGGGAAAACTAAGAGGTCTATGAGAAAAATAAGTGCCAGCATAAGCAATTCAGGCCCAGAAGAAGCTAAACAAAATTATGTTATCATCAGCACTGCAATGTGCTCTTGGCTGATGACTGCATTCATAATTCTTTCAAGTAAATATTCTATTTCTTCAGGTCTCTAGTCACAGCAAATACAGGTTTTCTTATGATAATAAGATCTAGTGACATTAACATTACTATCAAAATTGTTTGACCCAGGTTCATTCCCAAAAAGTTTGAAGAGCTCTTGAACTTGGTTGGATGGTTGTGATCAAATCCAAGAACAACAAAAGACCCAGCAGGCACTCCTTCATATTGTACAAAGAAGAGAACAACAAAGTAACATTGTCATTTCATACATTGCAGGAATATCTTAAAAGCTCAGGAGGATTTTCAACCAACACAATATGCATACACACTTTATACCCAAAATTACACTAAAGCAGAAGCTTGTCCACTCCAAGGTTAAAAAAACACCCAGACACAAATTGAGCATTGTGATATATGCAGTACAATGCAGTGAGACATGTGCAGATCTGTACATTGGAGAAACAAACATTTCACAAGCGCATGGCACATCAAAGGAGATCAAACATATCAGGACAAAATTCAGAGGGCCATCTGCATTTGAAAGCCAAAGGTCACTCTTTAGAAGATAGCAAAGTCCACATACTGGACAAAGAGGTCTGCTGGTTTGAAAGAGGGGTCAAAGGGGATGTCTATGGTAATACTGAACAGCCCGCCCTTAACGGGGGGGGATCCGGCACCACCTATCTCCTGTTACAACTGAACTCCTTTCAGCATTTCCAAGAAAGTTCTTGGAAACCATTTGCATTATTCAGGTGACCCTGCAGGCACATATAAACCCCCAAGTAACTTTAACGACTCTCAGAAAGAGTGCTAAAGACCAGATGACTGCAAGGATTCGCCCCCATTCTGTCAGAACTGAAGAAGCTTCTTGGATAAGAAGCAAAATATCTTCAGAGAAAAACAAAGAAAGTCCAGTTACCTTTTGAAAAAGCATCTTTGCAACAACTATAACCTGGATGACTGAGAATCTCAATTGACATTTGAGGGAGAGAAACTTTTTTGGATCTAAGTAATGGGCTTCATTCACTGAACTTGCTAAATTGATGGTTAGTATAATTCCTACTTTTAGATTGTGCTAATCACTGAGTTTAACTCAAGAATGCTACAAGATGTCTCTGGGATTAACATGATTTAAAAGTAGCCACTGCATGACTTTTAAACAAACCATGTCTGAATAATTTTGTAGCTGTATCACTGAGGGAAGAGGGTATGTGGTTACTCAACTCGTTACTTTAATACGTATGGGTAAGGTAAGATCAAGATAAATATAATCAAAACATTTGCTTATTTTACAAGATTGCTAGGCTAAAGCAGAAGATAAATTAAGCATTTGGAGAACCTCAGAAACCTATTTCAGGAAGCACTGATGAATTTTATGGAATAATTAGAAATGTCTCCTCTTTCCAAACTATTTGTAAAAGTGCATAACCTGAATTAATCATATACTAAAATCTGGTTACTGGTATTACTGTAACAGTGTGGACATTGAAAAATTGACCCATCTTTGGTACAATTCATTGTTTTGGGTATGATATGAAGACTTTTTCCTAAGACAAAATAAAACTTGGCCACTGTCCTTTCAAATGAGAGAGAATAAAGCAAAGCAAGAGATTCAGTGTCTAGAAACTTTGGACTGGGTGGGGATAGGGTAAAAGTGTAAAGACAAAACAAAAAAGCACAAAACACAAAAAAAACACAACACAAACATAAAAAAGCACCAAAAAGTGTAAAGTGGCAACTACAGTCATGCAATCAAAGCTTGTTCCTTTTTTATGTGCTTTGCATGTGTGATGTGGTGAGCCTTCAATATTACAGTCACATGTCACTATCTTAACTTTTTCTAACCCATCTTCTGAATGACCCTGTTACTGTGGTCTTATTGTTAGTCGTCTTCTTGACAATATAAAACTGAAAAAAGAACTCTCCATGAATACTTGTATCATGTTTTACTTCAAAGGCAAACAAATGAACAAAAAAGGAATAATTGGAAAAAGCATACCGGAAAACCCCAAAGCCTTTTTCAGAGTTTTCTGAAGTGCCCTGCCTCTCTCTCCTCATCAGTAACTATCTCCTACTCTATTATTGTTAACATAAGCAGTATAAATAGGAGACTAATCTTTTACCATAAAAATGACACAGAATATAATTAAGCTCTTACCCAGGCAATTTCACTTTAATTTCAAATAAAAATGAGAGCCTTGGCCTGCTAGTAATTCAAATACATCAAAATTTTCTAATCCACCATCTTGCAGACTTTAATCTACCATTTTTAAAACATAGTTGATCACTTCTTCTCTATAGCAAATAGCAACGGTATGAAGTTTATACATTTTGTACAGTTCTTTCTAATTACAGGGTGAGAAATTTGAATGCTGAGTTGGATTTTTGTTTGAACAGAACTGCAGTCAAACCTTTCTTATCTTTGTTTGCCTAATAACCTAGACATTTTATTCTTTCATACAAAGACGGTATAAAACATTACATGCAATCCTTATATTGCATACAGCTCTAGCTCACCTTGACGGATCTCAAACTGCTAAATAGCAACAGATCAGATTAAGACTTTGATAGGAGAACAGCAGGAATTCTCAAGATTGCTTGCTAGACTAGAAAATTAAAAAAAAAATATCAGAAGAAAGTATATCAAGCCATTCCCATACTGTTACCAAATAAACTACCTATCTATTCATGTAGTCATTAGACAGGACTGCAGAAATCTGGTTGACCATCTGATGACACTGAAGAGGTGCCCAAAACTCTGGACCATTTATAGTTTTGCGATTCACATTCACATGATGGAACATGGGGGCGATGATGTCAAAATCCTGCAGCACATCTGGCTACAGAAAATAAATAAAACCTTATATGCAGTGTCAGGGCAAAGATAGTGAAGATTCCACCAAATGAGCCAGGAGCACAATCAGTAGCTTTCTAACTACTTTATCAGTTCATATTCTGCAAATTTACATCTACATACATTTCGATACATTCTGTATAGCTATCCCAAAGGAAGAAAAATAGAGAGAGAATCTACTTTTCTGTCAAGTAGTTGAAAGGAAGTTGGCAGATTCTGAGAGCTCAGCTTTTCCAATGTCCAGCTTCCATCTTTTATAGCTGATAGCATCTGTGCTGATTCCCACAGCAAGTTTTCACACTTTGTTCTGATCTCAGATCTGTCCTCCATGTTTTGATGTGCCAGTTCCTTTTCAAGTAAAAGCTTGTTTATGTTATGCAATCATGATGGATAAATACTCTCTACATCTCACTGGAGAAACTGTTTAGAGTGTATGAAGATATTTCAAATCTATGGTGGAAATGTAAACAGTATGAGGGGACATTTCCTCATGCTCAGTGGACATACCAAAAAAAACCCTAGAAAATTTGGACTCAGATATATACACTAATTCAAAAGATTGTAAAGATTAATATACAATTGAAACCAGAGAATTTTCTTTTGGTACTAACCAATAAATAGTTAGAAAAAAAATTATAGAACTTTGTCTTTATACATGATAACTGCAGTGAGATTATTATATGCATAAAGATGGAAAGATTCAACATAAACTACAGTAAAGGAATGGATGGTGAAGATATAGGAAATTGTTGAAGTGTCCAAACCTGTGGTGGGTTGCTACTGGTTCACACTGGATTGGGCGAACTGGTAGCGACAGTGGTGGGAGGCTCTGCCCACTCACCCAGACGCTTCTGCGCATCTGCAGAAGCACCATGCGCACGCACAGGTGCACACACATGCACAAGCAAACCGGTAGCGACAGGATTTGGAACCTGCCCCAGGCTAAACTGACTTCTTTGATCAGAGAAAAGGTATTATCTAAATTTATTGTTGACTGGAAATCCATTATAGACTTTCTGCATGAAACAGAAAAAAAGCAACTTTTGATAAATGATGTTGACAATTAGAAAAAAAATTATAGAAAAAATGAAAATTATGCTGTAACCATACAGTTAGATGTACTGTAAATGCATATATTTATAACTCTTGTAAACTATTTCTTTATATTTTCAGGGGGAGGGGTTGCACTTTTGGCTTTGGCTTTTTTTTTCTTCTTTCTTTTCTTTATTCTATACATTACTTTCTGTTAGTTTTAATCTTTATTAAAATTGTAATGAAGTGATAGATGATAGATAATGATGTTGATTGATAGATGATAGATAGATAGATAGATAGATAGATAGATAGATAGATAGATAGATATAGATGACGGATGATGGATGACGGATGGATAGATAGATGATAGATGATAGATGATAGATGATAGATGGATGGATGGATAGATGGATAGATAGATAGATAGATAGATAGATAGATAGATAGATAGATAGATAGATAGATGATAGATGATGATAGATGATAGATGATGGATGGATGGATGGATGGATGGATGGATGGTTGGATGGACAGATGGACAGACAGATGGATAGATGATAGACGGATAGATAGACTTTATCATCTTAGTGCTGCCAATTTAATCTTCAGCAGTCTTATTTCATTCTTCCTTTGTTCCACCTTTCTTTTTTATTTCTGTGTGCCTTTGAGTCAGTCTTGACTCCTGGCAGCTGCCTGAACAAGACCCTGTCGTTTTCTTAGCAAGATTTCAGAAATGGCTTGCACTTGCCTTCTTCTTCCTAGGGCTGAGTGAGAATGGCTGACCCAAGGTCACGCAACTGGCTTTGTGCCTAAAGCCAAACTAGAACTCCTAGTCTCTCAGGTGCTAATCTGGTTCCTTAATCACTACACCAAACGGGCTTTCTCCCTTTCTCGGAATGGTACCATATAAAGAGAATTTGAGATTTAGAAGGTATGTAATAAAAAAAATCTAGAGAAACAGAATAAAGAATAGAGATAGAAATAATAAAGGCATATATTTCATATCATTTGGGATTAGAGGTTCTCTGTCCCTGCTGTAGATATTATATAAATGCTCATTTGTAACTATGGAGTCCCAAGTCGTGAGTTACAATGATATAATTCAAATCACCTCTTCAACATTCCTTGGTCATCCAACACCTCCATTCCCAATTTCATACTCCAGAGTTTCCATATGACATAAAGGACACTACAACAGCAAGAAAAGAAAAAGTTGGTTAGGTAAAACTGGTGGGAAGATGGCATGCTAGATTTAACTCTCCCCACATAGCCCCTGGTAATGTTTGATCTTTATGGATGGAGCAATCAATCACCATTTCTTTCATGCAACTCTGTTCCATTGGTGGTTTTTTTTAATTTATTTATTAAAAAGCAATAATTTTTCCATTGTTCCACCTCACTCCCACCCCACCTATCCATTCTAAGAGAAAATATTATTACTCCAGAAACCAATGTTCAGGCATTATTTTTAGAACAAAACAAAACTGTGCTCGGTTGTCTTTTTTTAATTAAAGCAAACAATTTGACTGCATTTCCTCAATAGATAATATTGATTCTAACATAGGTCCAGGTTTCATTCCACCAAGGACAATAACCAGCTGTCCCTACATTCATTTTCACAAACTCCAAAAGGAATTGATTATCGTCCAACACTTCTTGGTAGCACCAACTGGATACTTTGAAATCTGGCAGCCGTTTTATGACAGCATCAAAGGGATAAATAATCTCTCCTTCCAATAAAGCTTTTTAACCTTCCAGAATCAAGTGCAAGTCTTTATTTAACTTTTCCAGAATTATTGTGGCATCCGAGAACCTTAATGGTATAAAGCCCATTCTTTACATGATTTAAGCAAGCAAGTTATATTTACGAATGAAGGCAAATATATTTTTTCCAGGATCTGTCTTGGACCTTGCAAGATATATTTAATTGGCTTTAGGCAGAAAATAACATTGGAATATAGCTGATATACCTACAGCATATTTATTTGTTTACATATTGAGGAAGAACACAAACACACATAGACAAAATTGAAGTCATAATTTGTTTTCCCATCTCCCCTTTTTCATTTAAGTAGCACAAATCCTTGCAGAGTTAAATACTGAAAATCTCTGTGATGAAATACTGATTTCTTTATTTTTTTTATGAATCACAGTAAATAGTAACTGTTTAAAAAATAGGGTTGTTTTCCATTTAGGTGTGACTGATAACACAAATATATTCTTACTGTCACAGAGCTAGAGGCTGCTCTGTCCTTTCTTATAAATAAAACCTGCCTCCTTCTTATAAATTATATGACAATTAGAACCCAGCTCAACCGAGAGGATTTGAAGTTCAAACAGCTCTTAGATCTCTCTCAGCTACAAAGCATTTCAAAGCAGAAATGCTATATTAGGGATTGAATAAACTGACGAAAAATATGTTCAGGATATTGGAAAAGCTTGCCTGTGCTGTGGATCTGCTTTTAACTGGAAGGGAAACATAGATTGTGCACTTGAGCTGGTATTCCCCCACCCCACCCCCCAAAATTATTCAGATGGTTTTGCCTTAAAGGGAAAACTCCTTTAGAAGTCAACTATTCTGTGTCCTCTCATTCAGTCCCCTCTTTAATTACACCTGAAAACAAAGCCCGTTTAGGCAAAATAAAGCAATCATCTCAAGCAGCCATTGTCATGAGTAAAACCAAAAGTATTACTGCTATTGTGTACTATATCTGAGGATGTTGGGAACTCGGTTTATATGTGGAATAGGTAGGAAGCCTTCTTGTCTTGAACCAGGTAAGACTCCATCAAACTAGTCATGTTGAGAGGAAGATGTAGTGGATGTAGTGAAGAACCTTGGTGGCCAACCCATTTATGGAATAAATGGAAAAAATTACAACTGTCTTTGTTAGGAAGAATAGCAGTAGTTAAAATGAATGTTCTGCCCAAGTTTATATTTCTTTTTCAAACGATACCAATACTTAAAAAGGATGCAAATCTGGAGGAATGGCAGAGAGGCATTAACAATTTTGTTTGGGTAGGGAAGAGACCGAGAGTTAAATTAAAAATAATGCAGGATACACGTGAAAGAGGAGGTTTGAAATTGCCCAATCTAAAATTGTACTATGAAGCAGCTGTTTTGTCAGCAATTAGTGATTAGATTAATTTAACAGATGAAAGAATACTGAATATTGAAGGATATGATTTGCTATATGGTTGGCATGCCTACTTAGTCTATGAGAAGAAGGTGCATAGGACTTTTAAAACTCATATACTAAGGCATGCCTTCCTGCGTGTTTAGAAAAAATACAAATATAAATTGAATGGCAAGATACCCATGTGGGTAGTACCCAGACATGCAATAGAAAATATAGAAAGTATAGAACAAAGACAGGATGTAACTACTTATAAAGAACTTCTGTTTACAGAAAGAAATGTACTACAGTTAAAGCCTTTGAATGTACTAAGAGAGGAAAGGGCAATTCAAACCTGGTTTCAGTATGTACAGCTGCAGAATAGATGGAAAAAATATCAGAAAATTGGTATTATACAATGTGAAGAAAATTTGATAAAACAAATTAGGGACCAGAGTAGAATGCATATAAAAAGGTTGTATAATATTTTGATAGAAATAGACTCGGAGGCAGAGTTAGTTAAAGATTGTATGATAAAATGGGCACAAAATTTTGAGGAACCAATAATGATGGAAACATGGGAAAGGATCTGGGTAAGAAATGTAAAATTTACACAAGCTCAAAATTTGAGAGAAAATTTTTATAAAATGTTTTATAGATGGCATTTGGATCCTAAAAAGTTAGCTTGTATGTACCCAAATTTACAACCCAAATGTTGGAGATGTGATTTTGTTGATGCTACCTATTTTCATGTTTGGTGGACTTGTAAAAAAGTTAAAAGCATTTTGGATAAAAATATGGTGGATTATTCAAAATATTTTTTTAAAAAAGGATAAAGTTTACTCCACAGTTGTTTTTGTTAGGTATCATTACAGATTGTACGGCTATAGAGACTAATTTGATTCTGAACTTAATAACTGCAGCAAGACTTTTGGTGGCACAGTACTGGAAGAAGGAAGATTTACCTACTATTCAAGAATGGACATTAAAAGTAGTAAATTTAGCAGAAATGGCAAAAATTTCAGCATATCTAAAGGACCATTCAAATGAGAAATATATGTTAGAATGGAAAAGATGGATTGATTATATTCAAGGCAAATATCGGACTAAAAAATTTCAAATAGCTTATGAATGATCAAAGAGATTTTATAAAGTACTTAAATTTAGTTTAGTAAAAGGGGAGTTAAAGTTCAAGAGGGGGATAGGAGATTATTGATAATTAGCTTATGTTAGCTTATGATTGTCAAATGTTATACCCTGTATTTTGCTCTGTGAAGTGTGGGGGGGAGGAAGGGAGGGGAAGGGGAGGGTTGGAAGGGGAGCGGGGGGAAGGAGAAATGTTTGTAAAAAAATTTAAATTTTTTCAATAAAAAAAAAAGAACCTTGGTGGCACAGCAGACTAAAGCACTGTTAAGTAACACCAGCTGCCTGTAAGTTTTACTGCAAGTTCAAATCTCACCAGGCTCAAGGTTGACTCAGCCTTCCATACTTTCGAGGTAGGTAAAATGAGGACCTGGATTGTGGGGGCAATAAGCTGACTTTGTATAAAATAGAACACCGATTTGGGGGGGGGGGAGGCAAAAAGCCCTACTAAGCAGGTATATACAAAAGTATGAAAGCTATTGCTTAACACATTGTAAGCTGCCCTGAGTTTCCAGAAAACTCGTGGCATATAAATCGAACCAATAAATGAATAAATAAATAAATAAATTGTGGGGAAAAGGTAAGGAGATAAGGAAGGCACCCTTTTTCCTATATGTATGCTTGTTTTTGTTGTTGTTGTTGTTGTTTTTCTTTTTAAGTGATAAGGGCATCTAAACTACAAACTGTACCTGATGGATTAAACTTAATTCTTCTAGCCTTTGCTTTGGAGGGATATTATAATATGATAGCATGATGCAAGTATTTACCTCAGAACTTCAATCAATGATAGCAGCACAAATGATCTCAGAACTTTGATCCAAGGTTAGCCTCCAAGGATAGGAAATGAACTAGTATGGTTGGGTATGTTTTATTTTTCAAGACATATATAATGGAATGTCTATGATATATATACCAGCATCTGGGAAGATATTTTTCTTAAACCACAGAAGCAATCAATTAAGAAGAAAAGCAAAACATTCTCTAAATCATAAGAGACCAGTCCAGCTATAATGTAATGATCCAGGGAATCTGCCTTAGTTGAAGATTATGGGATTCTAGCTACTGTAGGAATGTGAATCCTGTATTTACACTCCTGTATTGAATGTTTTATTTTATTCTTTTCTTTGTGGCTCTTTTCTGGAGATGCTTTTGCAGTTAAAGTTGTTTTTCTACACTTTGCTGAATATTTTTTTTTCACTTTCTACTTCATTTGTGCATCTATTGCTTTTGAATCCACAAACTGTTTGACAAAACAGAAGAGAGGGTAGCTGCAGTTTCCACTGTTTGTGCAGACTATCTGTGCAGACACCCAAGCTTTGTAGTAGCTAGTTGATAAGACAAATGAAAGTTGAGTTTCAACATTCTCGTAGGAAGAAGAACTATTGAGGTAGCATCAGAGCTGGAGCCTTAAAATGATCCCAGGACTTTCTGGAACTGGGAAAGAACTTGAATAGCATTGAAGATAGGCAAATAATGATCCCTTCCATCTATAGCTTATTCCATCAGCTGGATGGGGCATATATGGCTGGATTCAGGAAGCGAGTAATGCCTTTTTAAGGAAGGGGTTACAGCGTGGTTGGATTCAGTTACAATGACAATGCACCATTGGAAAGCCTAAAAAAACCAAGTTAGGGACAGATTGTCATGGAGAAAATTTATGTAGTTGCTAGGAGTTAACAGTGCCTTGATGTCACATAATCAATCAAAAACAAAGGAGTTGTTGTCATCTGCCTTAAGAGAAACAGGAGTTTTGCCTCCTTCTAAGAATAGGGATGTGGTGGCTCAGTGGCTAAGACTTGGCTAAACTTGTTGATCAAAAGGTTGGCAGTTCAGCAGTTTGAATACTGGGGTGAGCCCCCGTTACTTGTCCCAGCTTCTGACAATTTAGCAGTTCGAAAGCATGTAAAAAATGCAAGTAGAAAAATAGGGACCA